CGGTGAGCAGTATGTAAGCCTCTCCCTGGGTACAATTCCCTATTTAAAGAATCGTGTCTATTTTAACGTTATTTCTAATCTATACCTTTTTCTCATCGTCAGGATTCCACAATTTAGTCCAAAATGAAATGTTACCACTATCTCCGTATATTTTCGTAAGTACTGTATAATCAGATGTATTTCTTGTAAACGTTAGGCAGTCTAATAAAAATAAGTATCGATGGTAGAATAATGATCGAAATCTAAGATGTACATGAATGCGATACCTTTATCGTCGCAAAATGGAATATCGCAGTATTGTTTCTGAACGAATTCAAAGTTTTCTTCATCGACGTAGCACCATGGCCCGCCCACATCGCCCGAAGGATTTCTACAAAAGTTTTCAGCCTTCTTACGCGATCTATCGGGAAAGTCTTTTTCCGTGAATTTCATACTCTAAAAGTATCAAAGAATTTTAATTACAAAAACTATGAAATAGTTTTTGAACGATTTTAAAAATTGCGGAGAATTTAATATTTCGTTTTTTTATAGAGACTTGTTCACTTTCGAGTCCTGAAGCTGATATCGCTTAGCCCATGATTTACATTTATTCCCGGTTGCAGTTATCTCTTTGGTACCTCCATATTCGGATCCCGGTCCAGATAATCTACACTCTGATCATTTATAACCAGTTTTGATATGTAAACGAGAAACTGAACTATTAAATACGTGCAAGAGACGAATGAATAATGAAGACCTCCGAAATTACATAGTGGTACATCGCACTCGTCGTCTATAAGCATGCGATCCATTGTATAACACCATGGACCTCTACCATCACCCGTAGGATTTCTGCAGTAATTTTTCGCAGCCTTCATCGATTTCTCCGGAAAATCTTTATCTCCTATATCCTTATTAATCTAAACGATAATTAAACCAAAAAAATGTGACGTATATTCTCTTTGCTAAATTTCAGCGCTTTTTAAACAGTACCATTGAACTAGCTAGTTAAAATCGATACAGCACCTCGTGTACTGGCTCTTCCGTGTACCATGATTGACACCGTACGCTGCCAGCAGTTTTTGCTATCGTACCTCTATATTCCATTCCAGTTTTTGTTAATTTACATTTCATCAGATCGGTCCGTGACGCGTTACGGACTGCAACTTTTTCGATACGACGTCAAATTTACGAAATATATTTTTTATTCGTTTGGAAAATTGCATAAATCGCTATTTAATATACTCTTAATGAATCAGTCGTAAGTATAATATTAAACATGCTTACCTTTTTGACTATTAGTTAACAGTATTAAATAAAATATAATTATGAGGTTATACATCGGGGATAAAATGATATAACAGTATTATACTTAATAAATATTATATAATAACTAAGCTTTCTTAATATATACTAAATTATTATTCACGTTTCATTATTCTCTTTATATATTTATTTCATTTAAATCTTCGATGCACATTTCTTGTTACATGTAATACATTTTTAAACAATTGAATAAATAAATCATAAATATCCTATAGGAAAAATGTCAATACTCATATACATAAGTACTCGTATATTCTCCGACAACGCGCAATGGTTCTCATCCCCATAACATCTAAGCACCCTCCGATCTAAATTAATGAATCAGATACATGTATCATATACATCTATATCTAATGCGATCATTTAGTTCGTAAAAAATATATTACGCTCGACCTCAACCAATATAAAGGAACAACGTCAACAAGATGATTGACATCGAATTTAATAAACAGAGGAACGATTACATTCAAAGTTCCACATATTTCCTAAGAATAGCTTCTAACAAGTTAGTACAATCAGATTGCATTTAATTGGATCCTATTCGTTGTACGATAATTATAAGAACAAACAAACCATCCACTTGTTTTCCAAAATTTCAAGTTCCTTCTATAAAATATAGGTTTCTCTCGTTAGGATAAACCGTACGGAAATATATGTATATGCTTCTATCTGTTTTTGATTATTTTATTTTTTTGTTTTTCTTCCCTTTGGTTGTACACGCACGCTAAGTACAGTGACGCAACAAGAGATCATGTTTGCTTCAGGAACTAATGTTACTAAACTAATTTGTAATACACACACATACATATTATAAAAGAAAGTGAATATAAATAAATTAAATAATATTTTATTCCAATCTTCTTATCATCAGTCTTCCCGTTTATACTAATTATCAATGTTTCGTTTATTATTATTGCATTTGCTCTTACGTTACTCCGTTTGAACTTACGATCATTTAAAGGTCTCAAAAACCCAATAACAGATTTTGTTGCTTAGTTGTTCTATTTCCGAAAGCAGTAATTAATGTATGGTATATAAGTAAATCGAATAAAATTCGAGAGTATATGAGATTATGACATATGATGTATGTAGTACATAAGAATCTCGAAACGGTCATTTCGTCTCAACGATTATCGAAAACTGCGATGTAGCAATGATATATTTGTATCAAATTAAGAATTCTTAACGTAACGCAAATCCATTAAATCTGTCAAAGGGATAGCAAAATCTTAAAACAAACGTAAGCTCAAACACAGCAACGTTAGAAAACGTGCAATAATAACACATGACGATTGCTAATTAATCTAAAGTTTGCAAGATAAATGACAAGACTGTAATAAAACAAATAAGTAAGTAATATAAAAAGAGTGATATAAAAAGAGTAATGTTAAAATAGTACTGTAAAAAAAGTAATGTAAAAAGAGTAATATAAAATGAATAATATAAAAGAATAATATAAAATAAGTAGTACGACATGAATAATTACTTATTCATTTTTTACTATTTAGTAATTATTCATTTCGTCTCATTAAATATATGTATGTATAACAGGCCTTAAACCATAATAGCTCGATATAAAACGGTTGAACTCGGTAAGAAAAACGAGAGAGTAAAAATAAAATAAAATCGACGACGGAACGATTTGTTTGAAAGAAGGTAATCGAATTTCTGTTAAAAAATAGTTAATGTTATTTTTGTATTTTATTCATAAATATTTATCTCTACTTCGTAAGCTACTTATTTTGTACGAATTTCCTTTTATATAGAGCTATAATGTTTTTCTGCCTATTATACATTTAAAGAGACGAGATCAGCTATTGAATAATTTTATCTCTATCTTACGAGATAGTCAAAAAAGATAATAGAATAAATCAGTCATGATTTTGTCTTAATTTTCGTTATCACGTCATCATTACCAACATCCATGCATTTCCGAGAGTATAACTATAAAATAGTTTTATCCCGCCTGACGGGTACGTTCGCACGATATGATTTGAAATCGAGATCTCCGTTTCTTTCTTTCTCTCCCTCCGGCTTTCTTGTTTTGTACTTGGCACTTAAAGTGAAAAAACCCGAAGACTCGAAAGGAACCTATGCGGATTTCTTTATTATTTTATAATATATCAGTAGGAAAATATTGCATCTAGCGCTCTTAATCACATGACCCTTAAACTATTTGCACACAAGTGTACCCGTATTACCAAATTCATGAATACTACTAACTCGCAACGTGAATGCGCGCATATATGAGCTCAGGTAATAGTGGCCGGAAAAATGCTCGCGTATATGCGTCGCCGTTGCAAATAGTTTAAGCGCATCGCGCTTACTTTTAAAATCCGAGGTAAACAGTTAATATCCTATTCACGATAATTAGAGCGAATGTTCATTCTTTAAAATCGTCGCGCTCTCGCCGTGTAAGATATTATCGGTTTTGTTGCATTTGTTTGCAATTAATCATGAGGTATTTTAAAATTTAATCAGATCGTTTTACGTATCTGTAGCGAGTAGCGGTCGGAGATGCATTTAGTTTTATCGTTGCCGAATACCGACCGCTTAAAAAATGAGAACTCGATTATTACCGAAGTCAACTACCGCGATTCGACCGTCGGGACATAACGCGACTCCAGACGGACGGTCCATCTCATTGGCCTCTGCTCCGAGACTGCCGAATCTACATTTCAGGTTGCCCTTTCTGTCGAAAATTTGAATCCTATGGTTCCTCGAATCGGCAACAATGACGTTACCAATGCCGTCTATTGCTATACCCTGCGGTCTCAGAAACAATTTCCCGGAACTGGGAGACTCGCATGGGAATACTCGAGCGTGTGCGAACTTATAGTCAATTGTAAGCAATTTATGATTGTTAAAGTCCGTCGTGATTATGTTACCATCTATATTAAATGCCACGCCGCGTGGAGAGTCAAAGTGTTTCCACATGTTAGGAAGATTCTCGTAACCATATTTTCGGAGAAAAATGCCATCGCCACTGAAAAGTTGCACCCGGTGGTTCCTGGTGTCAGACACGATTATTTGGCATTGACTGTTCACCGCCACGTCCCAAGGGTAATTAAACTGACCGCACCGGTTGCCTTTTTCTCCGAAAGCCATTAGAAAGAATCCCTCCATGGTCAATATCTGTAAAATAAAAAATTCAAAAATTTTATGCATATTCAGGTTCAAGCTTCGAGGTAGAATTTTTTTTTTTAATAGAAATAAACCAATTACCTGTATACGGTGGTTGTCCTTGTCAGCAACGATGATACGTCGGCGGGCGTCTACTGCAACTCCAGCTGGTCTGTCAAACTGACCTGGACCTGTACCATGGACGCCAAATCTTCTTACGAAACTTCCATTTTGTGTATAAATTTGAATACGATTATTCGACCTATCTGCGATGATTATATACCCAGATTTGTCACAGGCGATTCCCCACGGTCGGCATAATCTGTTCTCGGGGTCGCCGTCGTTACCGATTATCACTGATGCTGTTAACGGTACGTCATAGTTCCCATTTAAATGGACAGTCACAGGAAAAGTGTTATCGAAGGTGCTTAGTGGTTCCGCCGGCATTGGAGGGCTCGCGAGTGGACGTCCGATGAACACTTGAGAATTGCCACGGCCCCTTAAAGCCCTTCGATCTCCTATAGCACCTGGAACTTTTTGAATCACCCTGCCGAAGTTTTCTAAAGCGCTCAGCAGAGTTTCCTCCGAACATCTAAAAGAGATACAGCAGTTCTTCCCTTGATTAGAGAGATGCTGGAACTCTTGACGAATTTTCATCATCTGCAAATAAAATAAATAAGTTAAGCGTACTGATTGGACCCCGGACTTTATGGATTTATATTGATAAATACTGAATACGCAGGAAATAGAACTGTATGGACATGTACAGAATATCAGAAGTGAATTAAATAATAAACGTTTAAATACCTCGGCCATTGCTGCGTCTTTCATGGCTACGAAGTTCAAAGGATTGCTGTGTGGAGACGACTGTAGAGTGTCACTGAGTTTGTTACGGATCATGGTAAGACGAAGAATTCCACTTTTGAGTCTTTCCTGCTTCTGTTCCAACGCAGCCAATTTCTCACGTTTCATAGTTTCGATTTGAGTCAACAGCTCTTTTTCTCTAGTCTTCAAAAGCGTGGTGATTCTCCTTATGCCGAAGATCACGTCCGTGTTGGCTTGTTTAGATTTCTGGTCTAACATATCAGTCGCGCTCTGTGAACAAATATTAAACAAAATATTTGTAACATACACGAAAATATTGATTGAACGAATACAAAACTTTTTAAAAATTCTATAGATTTTTAATTACCTGTACCCTGTTTATCTTTTGTTCAATTTCAACATGTTTCTCTCTGACTTTTTTTAAGGCTTCTCTCGCTCGGCCCTTTGCTTCTTTCATGGCCATTGTAAAAGGCACTGTGACGTGTGTCTGGTGAGTGACATTGCATTTATCGCAATAACACTTACTACAAGTATAACAGTACATCTGTGCAACATTAGGATGTGTTCCGCAGGGAATGGGTAGTTGTCTAAGAGGCGAATTTGGTGAGTTCAGAAGGTTGGGGTAGATGCCTCGGAGGTATTCACCTTGGGGGCCGAACTGGAAGGTTCGCTGAAAATTCATTTTTAAATGATTAAAAATCTAATGACTACATCTACTTGAGATTTGATCGCTTACATAGTACTGGGTATGAGTACAAACATCGCAGTCTGCAATCCCGCAAGACATGTGCTGTTCCATCTGTGAAATCCCATCAAAATGCGGAATGTTGAAATAGTCGTTATCCACGGCCTCGACTAGAGATTTTACCACTGAGTTGAAGTCCAATTCGTTGGGAGATTGAAAGTTGCTTTGGGAGTTCCTGCTGCTCCTCGAGGTTCCTGGCGAGCTCGCATTCGAATAACGGGAGTACATTTGATTGAACATCTGGTATGAAAAGTTAGAGTTTCAGGTAATCGAATGATATTCTTATTTCTTTTTTTTTTACAAATCGTATATTACTTGGTAGGGTACAATAGAACGTTCCACCTGCTGATTTTGTTCAAGATTGTTTCTGAAGTAACTCGCTCCGACATCGATGCCTTGTCCATGATACATTCTTACGTAGGTAATGAATTCGAAAAGTTCGCCGATGTTTTAACTTGAAACAAAATCGAATTTAACATTGGCGACTGACCGACTCGATAACAGTTTATTTTAATTCATTTACGTATTACGTCGCAAGTATTTAAAAAACGGTGTAATAATTTAATTATGTTACGAGACACGTTAGAGTACGAGAGTTCTTTAATTATATCGTAATCGTTCGTGGGCGTCAATGGAAGCGTATTTTAAACCGGCGCGGATTGCCACTTGTTCCAGTTTCAAAGGCGGGACACCCCTGCGTAGCTGGTTCAAGGTCGTGCGAGTCATGAACGGGAAAGAACTGCGATACCCTTTTCAGTTCGGGGATGGAGAAATGGGGTCCCGACTGCTGTTGATGAGTCCGCGGAGATATCAATAACAGTGGGAAAATCGATGCGCGTGCAGGAGTAGGGCGTATAAATTATATTAATTTAGAATTCTCAAAGTTGGAATTTTAATTAAGGAGACAGTTGCTTTCTCTTCATTTAAGTTAATTTAAGTTTCTTCCCTATTTGTTGCAACGGTAGTCAACGAGATGTATTTAGCTAGAATTTATTAAATTACGAACAAGATTTATTTCAATTTCCTCAGTTTTAATTAAATTTCAGAATGTAAATGGAAAATTTCGTATGAAGGCGACAGTAACAATTTAATGACAACAAAATTTATTTAATTACCACGTGTGCTTTTTTATATTATCCACTACATTGACATTCAAATTGAATTTCTGTTACTTAATAAGTATATACAAAAACTGCGTGTGCAGATAATATGCAAAATGTTTCATATACAAATCTGATCCAGGTAAGATTAATTCAACGATAAGTAATCTCAATATAGATAATTGCGTAAAAATTCCGCAATTCGAATAAGAGCGAATTATTGTAAATGTTACTATCAAGCAGAAGCCTCGAAGTCTGTAATGCGAAAATTATAGTCGTCGATACTGTCTACCTTCTTTCCTATTTGTAAAGGATCACTTTTGGTAAAAATAAAATAAAAGGTCGAGGGATAGGCCAGTAAATTTTCAAATAATATAATTCAATAAATAAAAGAATTATTTAATACGTAATTCGTTAGCATTTGAACGGTTGTGAAAACGCGTCTACGGAACGATGAATTGGATAGGTTTCCGTGCGAGAGAAATGGGCGTGTATCGCATGGTGTCGTACGAAAATCTTAGGCCTGAAAACTTTTCCCTTTTCCGCTTTCCCAGCAGCTGGTCCGTAGTAGTTAGAGGGTGCTATCCTTGAGATCGCCATGGCGACCAAGGTCAGACTTGCTATTCTTCTCGAGGGTCGAAAAGAAAGAGAAAGTGAAGTGTATGTCTTGCTCTGGTAGGGTTTTAGGAATTTCGGTATTACAGGAATCCTAAACGTGGACTTTGAACAGCCACGGACGGTACTAGATACATATTTGCATTAAATAAGCTGAGTTTTGAATATAGAAGATACCGAAATGTATGTTAATACAACAATGTATCTAAAATTAACGTCTAACGAATCTGTGAATTTCCTTCTAGATCGTGTATACAATTTTTTGTATACATTTATATAAATTTGAATTTGTTCTCGATCGGGCAGAAATTGATGGCATACATTGTACTTCTAAGTTTACGTCAATATCATGCCGTTAAGAAATGTTCGTCGTTGTAAATACTTTCGTTCTAGAGTGCCTTGAAAAGGGCACTTCTATATAGGATACGAACACATTTACAGACGAATTTAAACGAACGCGTTCGACACAGTAATAACAAGGGTGACTTTGCGATCGTCATAATTGTCATTCTAGTTTGCGTAGTTTTCTCACAATTATAATAATGGCGTGGAACCGGCCGAGAATCAAGGATCGATGCGACTTTCACTTTCACTGCGAGTGCAACGCTCTCCCATTCATATCCAGCCACCCAAAACTAGAACCCAGCCTCATTTTTCTTTAAATCGTGGCGCTTACGCAAACGTTCAATAATCACAATACTAGATATCATGTATTAACATAGCTAAATACCTTAGAAAGGATGAGATCCTCCTTCAAGTGCCTTGCTCAAGACGTCGTAGATTCTTGGTCAACTGATTTTATTTTTTAAAACAAGTACCGATTGGGAAACTCGAAGATCGTATTTGTATAAAAAAAATCTCTTTGAGATTTAATGTTCGAGTAGACTGACGATAGACTGAACAGAACGGTGATCCGTTCGGAGCAGGAACGCGATATTAAGTGTCGATGGACGCAAACGACCGCGAGCCGACGATCCAAACCGATCTCAACGAATTCAACTAGTCAACTGACACTCGATGTCCCGTAGCGTAGCAGTAGCACCCATAGCACCCTTTGCCCCTTCCTCTAGCCGGCAAGCTCTACCACGGATCCCGCGCGGTTCCACCAGGCAAGCGAGCTTTCCTCCACCAATGAACAGACTGCATTTTTACCCCCATCCGGACCAGCAATTCTCACCCCCGCACTACCCACGCTTTTGAACTCAAGCTACCTACACAAAAAGTTTTTCGTGCCCCGACCATCTCTCTCCGTCAACTTTAACTCCTCTTATATCTGGCAGCGTGAATTCGCGTCGAGAGAACAATTTTTCATACACATCGCATGTAACAAGCATATAATGAAGATGTGTGACCCATGTTCCATCACTTAGTTAACGCGTCATACGATTGACCTTTGAACCCTCGACGCATCGGGCATTTAAAATTCAAATCGTTCGCAGAGACGAAGGGTCGTAACTACGTCAGAGATGAGCGTAGCTACGTGGAAGTAGCGGTGCGCGAAGATATGTATCCATATTTAACGAGAGCGAATCCGGTCGAGCGTGTTACTCGCCAGGTGCAGAATAAATGAATGACAAAGCCTGCTATACGTGATTCTCCGATACATATTGGGGATGATGCGATTGAAATACAGAATTTTCACTCGGTCAATATTGGACTGTACTCTCATTGCGAGTAACACACGTAATCCTCCTGTATCGTTACGTATCAATGTAGACAAACCATTGTCGCGTCGGTTGTTTCGTATCATTGCGTATCAGCGTAGATTAACAGGCGTTGCAATTTTTAGTACTAATCCTCTCGCTGTTGAACACGTATGAACTAATAATAGAGAAGAAATATAAATAATGAAAAATACTCGTTTTCATTGGTGAACATTATAAATTCAATCGACAGGAAAAGGGTTAAAATTGACTTTTATCGTATATGCGACACCAGCTCGGACGCAACGCTGATACGACACAACACGGATCGACAAGTAATGATTTTCGATTATGGAAGATAGAGCTTACCCCCGTGCGGGTGTTCCAGGACGCAGGGAGCCTCTCGAATCGTGGTCTAGCTTCCTCGAAGCTCGTACGTATGTTTGATGCTACGTAGTCTAGGCGCCTATGTGGAGGAAAGGGTTCGATGCCAGGGGATGTAAGGCGCGTGCGTCGCGAAATCATGAATGGAACTACCCGCTCAATGCTGGAGTCCAGCACAGTCATATATAGCCACCCTACTTTTATTTATATCCCTCGGCCAAGGTAGGGTTGATCGGAGGAATCAGGTTTCTAAGATGAAACAGGTGTCAATGACTCAAGCTTTCCCGACAACGATTGCTCGGAATAAAGAACGAGTGACAGCGTGGTCGGAGTCTGCAGATTCATGTGACGACTTTATAAATGAGAATTCTGATCAATGATGTACTATGTAGCTATCAGTACATCAGGGATCAAGTTTGGCGCACCCTTAGAAACCATGCTTTCAAAGAATCATTATATGACTCACGCTTGTGTATTGATTCTTGATGTTTAGAAGGAATTATCGAACGATACAATGTTCAGTAGTTACTTCATCCGTAGAATACTACGCATGTAACTTGCACATTAATTCATGAATGAAACGAACTGTTGCGTTCTCCTTACGTAATACGGACAGATATATGTACCTCGAGATAAATTATTGCATCAGCACCGTGCAAATATAAAATTCGACATAAAGCTTCGAAACATTTGTTTGATATTTCAAGACGCGAGATAAGAATATTGAATGAAAAACGATGATGAAAAGAGATATTTCCGTGGGAGGTCGAATCGTAAGATAAATTGGAACCGCCTCTTTCGCAAGAAGTACATATTTATTGAGATTGTAGTAGTGATACGTATTGTTTGATGTAGGAGGAACGAGGTGAACCTCGGGTTTATGAATGAGTACCTTGAGCTTGAGGATCACGTAGCGGGGCGACGCGGCGCTTTAACGATCGGCCTCCCACCCTCGAGTTTTATCACAGCCTCCCCTTGGAGTTCCTCCTTGGATAGCGACATACCTCTGCATATACAGGATGTACCATTTATAAGATCTGGGTCGAGTTCTCGAGAATTCGTTTTTTTAGGAAATCGAAGTTTAATCCTGCATTTTGAAACGTCGAAAGTGAAAAGAGGCAAAATATTTCTTTCGTTAAATGTCGCGTATTAAAAATTTAACAACGTTATTCCTGATCGTATTAATACTCGTTGTTCTTTGCGTCATATAACAAACTCTTCAAATTGTATCAATTGCGATAAAAGGATGATCGGAATTTTAGCGGAGTGTAAGAGTACACGAGTAACGAGTGGGAGTATGCAATGTGGGTGTAGTTTGAAGCGTAGGCGGATAGGGTTGTAGAGAATATGATCCCATGGAATGTTTGTCTCTTCGATGTGAACACGAGGCAAATGCGAAATTTCCGGACATGTGAGAAAAAGGCCAATTGTGTAAAATAATGCAATCTTGCGTTTTAGAATTAATTAGACAATTATATACGTATTTATGTATTTACTTTAGTGGAACGCTTTAGGATTAATAGGGTATCAAGCACTTTTAAGACCACTGCATAATGAAACTTTTAACAATGAAATTCGATAGACCTTCCGGAGGAACCTAAAGTTTCTACAACAAATGTTTTGAACTCAGTCACGTACGTACAACATAAGTACACGAACTCTCTTATACGCCTGAATTGCTTACAAGAAAGGCAAGAAGTTTCGAGCGATAGTTTCCTTGTTCAAACGTTTCGGTCTCGAACATTTTCCAGGACAGCAGGTACTCGGGAACGGGCGACTCTTTGTAATTTGAAACATCTTGTAGCGGTAGCTAGAAAGTAAGCATCCGTACATATCCGCCCACGCTTTGTGCGAGGGCGTCATGACGGAGGCGTCGCAGGCACTCGCTCCTGCGATAACCTTGGAAGCCACCTACGCGCCGAAAGAGACCATTACGCGGGGGTGGTTCGCCCGTCGACGTTCCAGCCACTCTTCCCGATTTTCCCTCCCCTATCCCGTCCGACGTATTTCCCAGGCACGCAATTTACAAAGCGCGTGCGCCCTATAACGTCGACTCCTAAAACTGTTCCTGCTAAAATTCAAATTTTACATTTACGTCAATACGCTTTATTATGCGTTCGCACGATCGCAGGTTTGTCTGCTTACCGATAACGCTCCTTTATCCTTTAATCCTGGGACCATTGAATGTTTTACAATGAAGATAACACGATCCACACGGTTTTCGATGTGATCCGAAAGTGATTGCTCGTGCAATTTTCCGCGCAGGAACCGAATCCTTGAACTTCGATTGAATTTAATTTGAATTTCATTAAACACTAGAGATTGTGAATTTCGACGAAATTCTATCCGCGTACCGTTAGGGGAAATATTTCAGAAAATAGCTGTTTGTAATACGGTTATTGTGTAGTTTACAAATTACGGTACACTAATTTACGACGATCCCTTGAAACTCTGAGTGCCTTCTGCCAGCTTAAAAATACAAAGAAGAAGGTCACAATGGGTGGTAATTCAGTAAGTGCTGGGCCCAGGCACGGAGAATGTTTGCGGGTGCTATTCCTAACTACTGAAATTTCTACTTAACCTTTTCTCTAACGAAATATAATAATTTAATGCCATTTATTGAAATCAGATTATTATGCTCGGTGGTTAGAAATTTCTCTCCTTGTACAACTGCAGTACGGCAAGCCTATTGGCAAGAATAGAAGGAAACACCGAAGGACAGCAACTATATTAGAATTTCTCCGAAAATACCGTTTAAGTCCAGACCTTTGTTTGGTACGGAAAGGCTTTAGCCGGATATTTCCGAAGCGTAAATAGCCTGGTAATGACATGACCTGGCCAGTTGAAGATTCTCCGGGATCTTCAGAAAAGATTTTTATTACAGGCAAAAATAAATCAAAGCCATTTTTAATATTTTTTTATTATGTACACCGAAGAGAGAAGTCTGGAATTCAGTGTAAACATCTAGAAATATAGAAATTTCCGTTTTCTTTGTAAATCCTCGACCTCTTCGTGTAATTCTACCTGGGTGGATTATGGACAAATGTCAATGATAGGTAGGTACGCGAAGGGTCACTAAAATTTCTTCGAGCAGAACAATTGTACGACTGTTTCCACCATAAGATTGGAAACCTTCTGAATTTTAAGAAGTTACAGGTATATTACATTGTAAGGAGCAGGCTTATACTTATTTCTGAAATCATTAATAATAGAAGAATTTACATCTTGTTCCGCGTTGCACGCTTTACTTTCAAATTATAAGATTAATCTTTATTTAAATTGTTTTTATCCTCGTAAGGTTTTTCATTTTCATCCCAGTTGTTTTCCCACTTCTCTGTTCTAAATATATCCAGCAATAATACTCCTCTTTCATTTATTACTGCTCTAATTTCTCATTGTCTTTTTCTTGTTATTCCGACTCGAATCATATTTCATAGTCAACGAAGACAGGTTCGACGGCATCGAAATACGACGGTTAGAATTCTAAATAAATATCAAAATCTATAAAGGTCGTAAACGGTCGAGACTCGTGATCGATAACGAGCGAGAATGTCACGTGACTTTTCGGGATTTCGAGGGTACATGCGTTACTCCGATCTATCAGTAACTTTGCCGAAATCAGTACAAACATTATGAATTTAGAGACCAAACTTTTCACTCCTGTATAAAAAGGTTTTTAAGTCACAAATCTACTGCGCTCTGGTACTTGTTTCGTGCAAAACAGACTATAAATGACGAAGAAGTACATGAATTCGATAGCTGCGTATCGCCGACTTTTGGCACAGATTTCTAGAGCTTATATTATTAAACGTTATTAAATAATGATAAAAATGGGTTCGATTAAGTCTCAAGAGGAACCTGGCGATCTAAAAATTACCTTATGTAAGGATTTAAAAGTTTGTCACTTATATTTTCGAATTATTTCGTGGGTAACATTGCCACCCTACCTTATTGCTCCGGTACGGAGTTTAATCGTGGCACTATAGTCATCTAGTCGTGAAACGGTGGTACTCATCACTGGAGAATTTCTCAATACCCAGGAGATACTACCCTCGTCGGGGGGTGGCACCTCTCTTCGGTGACCTCGATATTTCCAAGAACGCATACTGATATTTCAGGAACCTGCTACCATTACGTATTGATTTTACGGTTCCTGTTTTACTCTTGAATTGCTAGGAACACGTTGGTTCAACCATTTTCCACTAGAGGCAGTACTTCCGGTACCAAGTGGTAATCCGGAAGTCGCGATGATCCCCGGAAATTTCGAGTTCGATCCAGAATCCCCGTAATTTAGGTCTGTTGGTTTTAAGGGAAGCAGGTATATTGAAAAGTGCAATAAAGAACGCAATGAAATTATTTTAATTTCTCTCAATGCTCTCTCTCTCTCTTATGCTGCCAGAATGGAATTAATTAATTGGAGAACGCCTATATTTAGAATCAATGACGTGAGGCCTGGCTTTTCCGTGGGACAAGCTCAGAAGTCAGTAATCGGATTCGATATCGACAAAGAGCATGGGCTCAGGCACGTTTTTAATCGGCTCTCGACTCGTTAACATCGTGTCTCTTTCACTTCACTGTGTGTGTCGCGCTTTAGAACGTACGAGCTTTCAGATCATCCGGATGATTTTAAGAACTGTTTCCTAATTTCTAATAATAAATTAAAACAAAGATTTTCAACATTCATAGAATCAGCTATTTTTATGGAACATTGATTATCACAGAATTAAAATCCGAGGTCAAGTAGATCAGTCGAATTCGAACAGATCCGATCGCGTCACCGCGTGTTAAAGATATTAAGTATAAAGATTAAGAAAGAATCAAATAATTAATTTATGAGCCGAGAAATATCGGGGACCAGACAGAGGAAAAAGGAAACGTCGTCTTTCTGCGAGCTCTGGCTCGATCGCCAATAGCGTCTCGACATTTTTCCAAAGCGTAGAATAGATAAAAACGTTTCCACGTCTCGAGAGCCATCGCCCTACTGTTTCTTTCGTTACATTGGGTGCTTAGTGAGGGGTGCAGAGAGGAATTCTTCGCGGACTGTTGAAGATGTTGACACCGC